CCCGAGGCAGCTTTGAGCCGTTCCCACGCATCCTGTCACTGCATGTCCTGGAGAAGAGACCAGCACTGCCTTTCCCCGTTTTTCGGCCTCAGGAAGATGTGGAGAGCAAGGAGGGCACCCCTGAGCCTCCCTTTCTCCAGACTGGACGAACCCAGAGCCCTGGGCTGCTCCTCACAGGACATGCCTTTCAGCTCATAATATTCATGCTTTCACACACATTTATTGCTACTTGAAAGAGATGACTGCAAATTGTGTATTTTTCTGCTTTTATTCAGATTAGAAGGCTACAGTGCCTTGGTATGGCTATGCTGTCACACAAGAGCTCTCAAGAATGCAAAGACTTCATGAGCAGAGTACAATCCTTCAATAGGTACAAGAACTGAAACACAATCAGTCAGCATGTTCAAACACTGATAGTAATGCCACTGTGAACTGCTTTTCTAGAAGAAAACACAGTACACTAACCCCTTTTTAAGCCCTTTGTTGGAGTAAAATCAACAGCTCTAACAACAGATCCAAGGCTACAATTACTACTGGAATAATTAGAGTCTGAATGCTTTGTACCTTTGCTTGCACCCCTATATCCTTCCTCTCCAAAGAAAATAGTTTTAAATACTGTCAGCCCTTAGTCCCAGGTTCCAACTGTATTCCATGGATTACAAGCAATCCACCTTTCTGTACAGATTGCTTTGTCCTGTACACATCTGCTACAGCCTTATAATCCAAAGGAAAGATAAATAGAAGCAAAAGTCAGAATTTGGAACCACCCCTTAAACTAGCATAATCGTGTTATTATTTATTTTTATTTATTTATGGGTTTTTTAATTTATTATTATTTATTTCCCTAAAACAAACAAAGGATTCCAAATGGCTTTATAAATATTACACCCATTTATCTAGCTCTGATTCAAAGGACTGGAAAGTTTACTGGGCAGTGTCTGTAACGATGTGATCACAGGAAATATTAGCCTCATGTATGCAACCAAACTTAAGGCAGACACAGATGCCACATCCAGCTGCTGGAAAACTGCAGAAGAGTTCAGTGAAAATGACATCCCCAAAAACGCCTTCAGAAATATCCATCACCACTTGTACACGTAAAGTAAAACAACTCAATTCACTTTTTTCTTAACTCAGAAAGTCCTCTGTGATTGCTCAGAAAGAAATTTACGGGTAATTCTGCTTCTTCTGGCCTACCCTATAATGGAATTTACGTTTTTAGTGGTTTCATTGAAAGATTGGACAGAACCCTCAGAATTCATTTAATTCTCATCTGTAAAAGCAGCACCACTTCTGGAGACTCAGGTCTGGAGAGCAGGTACCTTTGCTCAAGGGATGCAAAGGGATAAGGTGAGACTGGGGTTGCAATAGGACTTATCAGGAAAGCTAAATCCATCCCTCAAATTTAAGGTATTTACTTTTACCAACACAAGCAGGGGTTATTTCCACATACATCTGAAGTCTTTAGAAGTATGAGAGAGCCAAAACAGAAAAACAACCCCTGCACTCTGAACTTCTGGTGCATTCTTAGGATTATAAATACCAAAGTAACAAAGTAATGAAGGGTAATATGATAAAATACAGTGTCTGAAAGTTACCCTGAAACACTTAGGTAATCTGCCACTTACACTGCACTTAAATGTGGATTTAGTCTGCATGACTTAAAATTTAATCTGCAGCCTGAAACCTCAAGTGTGCTGGGGGAAAAGCCCAACACAGAAGAAAAAACATAGCTGAAAAAGTATCAAGATCGGTTTAAGATTTTTTTTCCCCTTCATTATTATGATAAAGTTAATTTTACATAAGCAGAAAGAACTTTCTTGTAAGGGCATTCAAGCATCAAACGCTTCACAAACAGACAACAGCAGATTACAAAACACACACAGGCACATCAGACACAAACCCTGTGTACCTGAATGGACTCAAATGAACATGGACAAGAAGGTGGTGTGAACTTTAAAGATTCACAAAAAGCTTGTTCCCATCACACCACAAACTTTTTTTCCATTTGGTGTTGCAAGCTTTCCTGGAAGTTGGGTTTTCAGTAAGCCAGGAGGAACCCAGCCAACCACTCAGATAGACACCCTACTTAGATGTCTCAGCAGTTCTGTCAACATTTGGAGGACGCCAGTTACTGCCCTTAAGATTGCAGTTCGGTTGTTCCTCTGGACCAGAAATATGCTTTCCAGCCTAACTGTACTTTGGCACCTCCAAATCAGTGCAGCTATCATCAGCCTGACACCACAGAAACAGCCAAGGGTGTCTAGGCAGCAATATTCTTCACCCAACTCTGGCAGTAGTTGTGTCACTTGGAAAGAAACCTGAAGTTGGCCTAACAGTCCCTGGTGTCAAAGACATGCAGGAAACAGTGAAGGGGTCTGTAATTAATACAAAGAACTTTAACTGCATTGAGAGGTCTAGTGAGACAGGGACTGATCAATGTCTCCAAATCACGGAATTAGGGAATATCTGAGTTGGAAGGGACCCACAAGGATCACAGAGTCCAACCCCTGGCTCTTCACAGGACCATTCCCAACAACCCCACCATTTGCCTGAGAGTGTTGTCCAAGATCTCCTGGAGCTCTGGCAGCCTTGGTGCTGTGCCCACTGCCCTGGGCAGCCTGTTCAGTGCCAACCACCCTCTGGGGGAAGAACCTTTTCCTGAGATCCAACCTAACCCTCCCCTGAAACAACTTCTTGGCCATTCCCTCGGGTCCTGTCCCTGTTCCCCACAGGGCACAGATCAGTGCCTGCCCCTTCTCTTCCTCTCCTGAGGAAGTTGTAACTGCAGTGAGGTCTCCCCTCAGTCTCCTCTTCTCCAGCTGAACACTCCTCAACCATCTTCCCCTCAAGGCCCTTGAGGAAGTTTATGTATGAACACGACAGAAGCAAATGTGTCACCAGGTATGCTCAGTTTTCAATAATTCTAGGTAGAATTAACCTTGAAGGAAGCCTTAAACTTAATTACAGAAATGATCAGTAAACAATTTGGATAAAAACATATCCAAAGGTGACAGATCCTATTTTGATGCTCATTGTCTCAACGTGGTTGTGTACACAATCCATCTACCTCCTCAACTCGACTACAGTAAGACACCCTCTCAGCTCTAAGTTAGAGGGAATGTCTCAGGCTAACAGCAGAAAGAATTATTGGTGCAGTTCTGTCTGCACCTAACAGACACTGTCTGCCCTGCAAACTGAGTTTGAGAATGCTCAGCAGCCCATTGGGGACTGAGAAACTGACAGTGAAGTACAACACTAGCACCAACATTTACTTTAGCCATTCAATCCATGGATGGGGAAGTACTCAAAACAAAGTCACACATTTAAAAAAAAATGTACACGGAAGAGCCAAATCTGAAGAGCAGAAAGAAAAACGGCCAGAAAGCAAAATCACCAGAAAGCAATGAGAGCAGAAATAATTAAACAAGTCTACTGAGAGAGGTGTTCAAGCATTGTGACAAAAACTACCCAAAGTTACATTAAAATACTGCAGTGAGGTGGCAAAAGATGCATTCACAATGTGCAGTTCATAGGCAAAAAGGAACTGCTGAGATAGGAAAGGAACATTCCTTATAAACTGTAGTCTCCTGAGAAGAACCAAAGCTGCAGTGAGAGTTCAAGAGTATCCCACTGAAGGCTCTCCTCAGGTGCTGAGGTATCAGGAGGACACAGTCCACCTTACCATACATATCAGAAGCCACAAAAATTAATCTCTTTAAAGACCAGAATTATAGAAAGTGTTTCAGATGCCTGAAGATTCAGAGAGATTTTCAGGAATACTTCAACACCTAACACCACTTGGAGTAACAGATATTAGGCACCACTGAAAAAAAATCAGACTAGATGGTTCACCACAATTAATGATCCTGGACAAACGTTTGAAAACTTGGCCATGCACAAGTTTGGTCCTGGAAAGCGAAGAAGCAGAGAACTCACAGCCAGGGCTTCCCAACCTCTGAGCTAGAGAGCTAATCACAGGGTTCTCCTTCCTGTTGACAGGGATACCACTAATTTTTGTGGTGCAGGGAAGGCAGGCAGGCAGGCCCCTGCTGCTGCTCCTCTAAACTACTTCTAAAATCCCCTTTTGTAGCGACCCGTGAGCCACATCACTAAAGAACAGACACCACTGCACATGGGTATCGGTGCTGTGGTACAGGGAGGGGCTCGGAGGAGGAGTCAGGCAGGTGGAGGCAGGTGATGGCAGGAGAAGGCAGGTGATGACAGGTGGAGGCAGGTGATGGCAGGTGGAGGCAGGAGAAGGCAGGTGGAGGCAGGTGACGGCAGGTGGAGGCAGGTATTGGCAGGTGGAGGCAGGAGAAGGCAGGTGATGACAGGTGGAGGCAGGTGGAGGCAGGTATTGGCAGGTGGAAGCAGGTGGAGGCAGGAGAAGGCAGGTGGAGGCAGGGGGAGGCAGGTGGTGGCAGGAGAGGGCAGGAGAAGGCAGGTGGAGGCAGGTGGATAGCAGGTGATGGCAGGTGGAGTGCGGCACAGGGAAGGCTTGCAGGAGTCAGGCAGGCGAAGGCAGGAGATGGGAAGCGCAGGCGGGTGGAAAGCAAAAGGCAAGGAGAAGGCAAGGGCGAGGCAGGTGAAGCCGGACCCGGCCGGGACCACCCCCCGCCCCGCGTTCTCCGGCCGGGCTGTCCCGCCCGCTGCCCGCCCCCAGCTCCGCGCCCGCATCCCGGGGGAGGGCAGGGCGGGGAGCCCTCGGGAGAACCGGCTGTCCCAGCCCCGGGGGAGGGCAGGGCGGGGATCCCTCGGGAGAACCGGCTGTCCCAGCCCCGGGGGAGGGCAGGGCGGGGATCCCTCGGGAGAACCGGCTGTCCCAGCCCCGTGGAAGCGGCGGGGGCGATGCCCGCGGCCCCTCCCGGCGCTCCTCACCCGGATGTGCATCCTCAATGCGCTCCCCGCCCGCCTCCCCGGCCGGGGCCACCTCGGCGCTTCCAGATGGATTCTCTGTGTGTCCCCCCCCCCTCCCATCCCGGGATGGGTTTTCTCACCTTCTGCCAACGTAACTGGTGTCGTCAGATAACTTCTACGGCAGGAGTTGCTTGAGGAAGGAAAGAGCCCCGTGTGTTTCGGGGCATTGCGTAAGATTACATCACCCAGATAAATATGCATTAGGAGGCGGGGAGTATCCATCGGATAGGCGGGACCGTGTGAATTTCATTGTGCGAAAGGTGCGGCTTTTTTAAACCCCTCGGTGCCGTTGGGTCGGGGGGAGCCTTCGCCTCGCACGCCGGGCGGAATAAATGATGTCTCTTTCCTAAACTAGGCTCTGTGTCCGTGTTTTGAGAGCTCCTGAAGATCGGGAACAGGCTCCGCGCCGGGGCGGGGGGAGCGCCTGCTCGTCCCGGGACGGGTCGGGGCCATCCCAGCTGCTCCTTGTTCCTTCCCGGGGCAGCCGCGGAGACCGTGGATGGAGCTCCTGGATGGAGCTTTTGCCCCTCTGCCCTTTGTTTTCTCGGGCAGTGGCTGCTCCACCCAGCCTGGCCTTAGGCTCGGTGCCTGGCACACGGCGGGCAGCACCAGCTGCCTCCCTTCCGTGCCGTCCTAGAAAACAATCGCGGAATCCGTAGGGTCGGAAGGGACCCTCTGGATATTGTCTGGTCCAGATCCCCCCGCCAAGGCAGGGTCACCTGGAGCAGGTGACGCGGGAGCGCATCCAGGTGGAGTTTGAATGTCTCCAGAGGGAGGGAACTCATGCCCTCCCGGGAAGGTGATCAGTGCTCTGCCACCCTCGATGTAAAGAAGTTCTTCCTCGCGCTCGAGATAAAACTTCTTGTGCTTCAGTTCATGGCTGTTGCTCCTTGTCCTGTCGCTGGGCACAACTGAAGGGAGTCTGGCACCATCCTCTTGGCACCTGCCTTTGAGATATTTATATGCATTAATGAGATCCCCTGTCAGTCTTCAGACTAACCAGACCCAGCTCTCGCAGTCTCTCCTCCTCAGAGTAGTGCTCCAGACCCCTCATCATCTTTGTCACCCTTTGCTGACCCTCTCCAGTAGCTCCATGTCTTTCTTGTACTGAGAAATATTGAAACGAATGAGGAGCAGGCCGGGCAGTGAAGATCACACCAGCCACTTCCAGGGATGGGAAATCCACAGCTTCTCTGGGCAACCTGTGCTATGCAAAAAAAAAGAACTAAAACTTGTGCCTCGACACTACAGAATTTGACAGTTTAATGGAGTTTTCTGAATCATTCATCCTCAGAAACCAAAAACAATTAAGGGCTTGTCTTCTGCATTAGTTAACCTTTTACCAAAGTATAATCCCAGCTAAAGACCATTATATAGGTCAGCCAGATGGTAGAAGTTCTTCTTGGTTGTAAAAGGGGAAAAAAAATCTCACTAAGAAAACCTTTTCAATATTTTATATTAATAATATTATTAATAATAATTCAAGATGTTTTATAAAGTTTTAGTCAGGAGTTGTCTGGTTGGTTTCTGTAATGGTGAAAGGGATCATTCAGATTCTCAGAACTTTAGGAGATTCTTTCTGGGATGGTTTTCAAACACACTCTCTGCTCTTGTTTTTGTCACTAAACTGAGGATTTCACTTTTTTTGACCATCAAGATATTATTCACTTTGTACAGATTAATGCAAATTTCTCTTACTGAAGGCAGTAATCCTAAAATACGTTACGTTTATAATCAGTGTATTCTGTTTTTCAACTCTGTAATGTGTTCCTTTTCTATTTTAGAGTTTGCTATACTGTTTTTACAGAAGGAATAAACATTTTCTGGGCAAAAAGACAAGAAAAAGTAGCTCTTACCAAGCTAAATTAGGTAATTACAATTTCACACAGATTTTAATTTTAAAATAAAAATAAAAATCAATAAAAATATATAATAAATATATAATAAATAGATAATAAATAATAATAGTATATATTCAATAATAAAATCAATATAAATAAATGAATAATAAAATAAAATGAAAACAAAGCTGTGTGTTTTGGGTTGTGAGAATTAGTATACAATATACCAAACTTTACACTTTTTTTCTTTTGTAAAGGAAAATATCCCCTCAAGATGCATCATCTAAACAGCTCATTTTCTCTATTTTAAAGTAAATGCATTTTTGAAGTAAAAGTACATGCAGTTATTGTTCTTCTTATTATTTATGAGTTTAATGTTTTATAGTGGCAATTATCAGATTTCTTACTTTTTCTGTGTCAGAATTTGGTAGGTGACGAAAAAAATGAAAACAAGTCTGTTTTGATTTTCCACTAAAACAATTGCATTAATTTTGTATCTCAACACTTTTCAGTGCTGTTTTAATGACAGGTAATAGGTATCAATGAAAGATGACCCAGAATTACTCTATCCTTAATTCGTGTATCAGCAGCATGAGAGCAAAGTGTCCCTATTACACTAAAACAGTTCCAAAAAGGATCAAAATATCAAGGATTTTCATGTACAATAATGTTTAGCTTGTCCAAAAATCAATTTCAACATGTCTTCTGCACAAAATAGATTTTTGTATCACGGGCCTCTATTGATGGTTTGTTTTTGTTGTTGGTGTTGTTTTGTTTGTTTTTGGTTTTGAGTTTGGTTTGGTTTGGTTTTGTTTTTGTGGGGTTTTTGTGCGTGTGTGTTCGGGGTTTTTTTTAAGCCTATAGTTTTCTAAATATCTGTATTTTTGGTTTCTTTGGGGTCTATGTAGTGATGTGGTTGATGATAATCATCTTCCCTGCAGAGTTGCCCTTGAAATAAGCTGCTACTGGTGAATCTACTTTGACTTTTCCTCAGCTGACCTGTCTCAAGGCCCAAAAATCTGCCTGGATAATGGTCCTTATATTTTGGGAGTATTTCCTACTGTAGTGCACCCCAAGTAAATAGACCTAAATTTTCTTACTAACTAGAAAATTTTCTTGGTAACATTGTGGGTCACTGAATTTGAACTGACCATCACTGTAAATTGGGGGTATTTTTCCAAAGCAGAACTGATTCTTCACGGCCATTATTTTGAAAAACTAAAAAAACAAACAAAAAAACCCAGAAAAATCCGTTTTTCTCTCTCACTCTCAAACTCTTTCCTCGAAGTCTGAGTTTGACAATTTTAACAAGTGTAAATTCAGCAAGCAAAGAAAAAGGAAGAGGAGGAAACGCACTGCAAACTGATTTACAGCTTTTAGAAGGAATGGGGAAGAAAAAGCTGTATGGGAGGTTTGTATTTCGACTTCAGCTTGAATGTTGCAATTAGCAAAAGATTGATTGTTTATGTTTGGTAGCTGCACTCAGCTTCAAGCCATGCTCCTTCCCCTCTGGAGCTTTATGAAATATGAAAAAGACCTCTCATAATCCTTCGATTACTGAAGAACAGAAGGCCCCATATCACTGCACCCAGATTAGTTTGAAGGGATCTAAAGAGCAAAAAAAACTTCTTCGTTTGGGCTGAATGTTGTTGTTATGTCTCCTAGAGAGCAAAGTTCGTAGAGATTCCTGCCAGTTCTGAAACTTTTTTTTGAAATTCACTCAGCCTCGTGTGGCAGCTTTGGGTGGTGATAAATAGGTGGGTAATACCTGCCTTCAGACAAGCAGTTTGTGGGGTATGAAGCCAGTCATATTTTGGGGTCTTCCAGAGGAAACAATGGTTCTAATGCTCCTGGACTGGAGGCCTTTTACAAGTCTTGGGAGGGAAATAAGAAAAACAGCTGAACAAGCATGATTTATAAAGTAGTTATGGATTGATTTACCACTATTAAATGCCATAATTAACCTAAAGAGCTGACTTCCTCACTGAGGGAAATTGCTGATATAACACAGCCAAATGAAGCACTCACTTTTCTTATCCTGAAGCAGACTGAAACAATGGGACACGGGACAGTGAGATTCTTAATAGGAAAGATTACCACTGGTTTTTTTCAAATACAAACAAGGCTTACAGCACCTAAAGTCTTTATGATCTGTTGTTTGGTGATCCAAAGGTAAGAATGGACCGAGTTCAGCTTCTTACCAAAATACCATTTCCATAATAAGGACCAATCTACTCTCATTCTTGTGGTTGTTATTAGGAGCAAGATTCAAAAAAATTGGAGAGGAGAAGAAAATACTGTGCCAACACTGAAAGTAGCCATCATGTGTAGAATAATTGAGTCTGTTTCATTACCTTAAATCTCTGATTTCTGCCCTATTAATGTCACTGCTGGCATTGCCACCTACATCAGTCCTTACTTGTGTTACCACCCCTGGCAAGAAAGCAAAAAGCATATTTGTTGCTAGACCACAATCTGCCTGCTTAGAAAAATTCTGCCACCTTTTTCTGCCCACTAAAAAGCCCTAATCAAGGCATACTACACATGTTTGCCTCTTAGGGTTTTGTAGGAAAAATCATGGTGTAGGACTCATTGCGATTTCCTTTCAAGAAAATTTTCTAAAAAGTATACATTTAAAAGTCCTGCTGTTAAACAAAAACCCTCTATAGGGTACCTTTGTTCCCCTAACTATTCTAATGTAATTCTCCTTTTAGATGACAATAGCAGAACACAGAGGCCACATTCTAAAGTGGTTTTTTTCCCATTTATAGGATCTGTTTATTGGCAGAAATGATGAGTTTACTGACCTTCTCTAGCTGTCACAGCTTCTGTGCATCTAAATAGGCACTGTACTGGGTGACTTGGTGTTTTTCTGGGTTGAGTATTTTTGTTTTAAGTATTTGATCCTGCTGTTTTTTAAATCATATGGAAGTACTTTTGAATTTGCAATCAGTGATCTATTTTTCAGCTACCTTTTTCCAAGTTTAATTGATTTGCATGTTAACTGCATGTATAAGCAGCAGTGCTACACTGGAGACTTCTCTGTGAAATCATGTAAAAAGGTTTAAGACAGATTTTTGATTCACAGGGCAACTTTTTTAAATCAGTTTCTGCTTACATCTGCAAGAGCAATTTATGAACAGCGCTCTTACTTCAAGTGGTATTTTCCTACAGTATTTTACTTTCCCTTATTTGAAGTTAAAATAAATAAATATTTGAGTTCGTAGAAATTCTAGGGTAAACAATATTGCACAAAGAAATCACCTAGTTAATCACAGAAAGCTGTGCAAGCGCTGGAAGTATGGTTAAGCTGCGAGGGAAATGTCCAAGTGGCCCTTTTTAAAGCCATTATGAGCATACTTGCAGCACTTAAAATCGGTCAG